CCAAATATAATTTTTTAATTTGATTTATTTATTTGTATGAACAAACAAACACAAGGTATTACAAACAAAATTTTAATTTAATTTAAAAAATGTCAGTGAGAATTTAAAAATGTAATAGACCAAAAACCAGGGCCCGTATCATAAGAAGATGGGTAGGTAATCAACGTAACGGCAGCGCCTATGTGGCCCTACGTCGCGGGTTTGCGTCGCCATTTTTTCTCATTTATCCTTATGAAAAAAATCATAACTTTTTTTTAAATTGAGGTTTAATTTATTTTTTGCCAGAATATAGATCGTATTGTTATCTATATTTAACAAAAAATCAAAAATTTTGACGGATTTATTTAAAAGTTATGAAATTTCTAGCAAGTTACTTTTTTCTTAAAAAATCACTAAAAATAATGTACTTTCTGTTAAAAATTCGCATAAATTGATTTTTAAAGGGAAAATTCTAAAAATTATATCAAAAATAGACACTTTAAACTATCGGAAAATATTTGATTCATAATTTTTCCACAAAAATCGAATTTTAATGATTTAAAAAATATATTCTATCTATATAGTTAGAAAATATATTATACTTTTTCTCTTTATTTTCTTCCTATTTTTTCGGCGCAGCCATTTCTCCCTTCTTTTTAAATCATGGGAGAAAAGTTGTGCGCTGGTTGGTTACCTAACCTGTAACCACGTTCTTATGATACCAGACCTGATCGACATTCAAAAAAACAGAATATTGGGAAATTTTTGGTTTGTTATCGATACGTCTATCTGAAGTTATCAAAGATCCGACAACCTTAATAACGATAACAATATGCAAACATAATGATGTTAAAATAATATCTAGTTTCAGAAGAAACCTCCGATTGGTGATTATACAAGCATTATATTAAAGTGTATCAATTACCTTCGTTTCTAATCGTTTGTTTTTCCTTGTGAGGATTTTTGACATAATCGCGAATTTTTTCCATATCTGCTATAATTGTATCTTTCTCTTCTAAGTTAAGTTCAAGAAGTTTCTTCGTTGACATTCCGCTCTATTAAAATTATTTAGGAAGTTTAATAAAATAATTTTATCCCAATTTATTTAATACTCGAGTTTTCCAAATTTCGTTTTTAAAAAACGATCCCTTTTCCAAAAAATTTACCGGATGTTTCTTTCCGCCTTTTGTCATGTCTTTAATGTATTTATAACCCTCTACAGTTTCATTATATGCATTAACCAGATGCTCATATTGTTCTTTAACATTGTTAATTTCATCCACACTTGTGTTTACTTTATTTTAAAAAATAAATAGTTTTTATAGTTAAAAATTATATTATAAATTTAGATAAAAACAAATATTACCTAGCTCTCGAGGTTCTATGCCATTACAGGGTTTTGAGTCGCGAACACTTGCGAGTAAAGGTCGAATTTCTTTGGTTAATCGATTAAAAGCCTATTAAAAATTTTAGTATATTATTTATTCCGTAATAATGATACTTCGTCTTTTCGTTGTGCTTCTTGGTCGCTAACATCTTGGTCCGTTGATTGTTTTATTTCTGGATCCATTCCAACTAATAATGATAAAAGTTGAAGTAAACAAAATTTTAAAAGAAATACCGAAAAAAATTTTTTAATTTACTTTATCATTATTATTTTTGAAAGAAAAGTGTTTGGAATATCAAAATTCTATTTGAGCCTCCATTAAGCTTGTGGTTGAGTAATTAATCTGTTTGTCATGGTCTATATTTCTAATATGTACTATGGGGCTTGGATTAGATACAAGTTAAAAAATCTGTGGGTGTTTTGTTTTTCCTTACAAAGATAGATAATTATAAAGTAAAATCTATCTAATCACTCCATATCCTCCTAATTTACGAATATCTTAACGAAAATAGAACTTAATTAATTACCTTTATTTTTAACCGCTTGGCCAGTTTTGTGAAGTTTATTGAGATAATCGCACAATATTTCCATATCTGCTAAAATAAGCAATAGCATTTTCTTTTTATTGTTAAGAGTTTCGTCCATTTCCTTTTTTATTGCATTGTACGTTTTAAAACTTTCCTGATCATTAGGATCGTCCTAACAGATGAAAAATTAAATTTATGTAAATGAATACTAATATCTCTCGTTTACTTAATTTTCACAAACGGTTTTTCAAAATCGCGGTTTGAAAAAATGATCTAACTTTTACAAATTAATTTCATACACCAATTTTTTATCATCAAATAAAAATACATTTCGGCAGTAATTTTGCCGGTGGCTTGTTCGAAAGCCTTTCGAAATACATATATACCATTCAATTCGCTCGGCGAGCTCTTTCGAATAATCGAATTTTTGAACCTAAAATCTGCCCTATAGTTTTTGACCATTTCCATCCACATATCTAGGCGAGGACATTTTCAATCATGTTGATTTTTGTGTCATTCGATTCATCTCGAGGAGCTATTTTGAATAAGCTATCATTCGAAAAATCGAATTTTTCACCCCAGCTCTCTCCCCTCTAGGGTTTTTCGATTTTCGGTGACCTATATCTGGTACCACTCTGCGACGTGTGAATGGTACCATTCGACTCAGCTCGCCGAGAAGAATCGAATGGTTTAGAAATAGAATCGGTTTCGAACCGGCCACCGGCTAAAGTTATCCTAAATTTTAAATAAATTTAAATATTTTTATCCTGAATTAATATCCTAAATTTAAATATCCTAAATTAAATGCTAATTTTACCCGAGATGGGTCTCCGAATATTGTAAAGAATTCTAAATTTTCTTTATTTGCATTTATAGCTTGTATTGTATCATTATATGCTTCGACCAAATTATCATATTGTTGTCTAACATTTAAACTTTCTTGCCCAAGTGAAGGGTTACCTTTATTTTTAAAATTAAATAGTTTTTATAGTTAAAAATTTATTTTTAAAAATTTAAAAGTAACTATTACTTACTTAACTTTTGAGATTTTAAGTCCTCACATGGCGCCGCGTCTCCAACTATTTTAAGCAAAGAACTAATTTGTTCACATAATTGATTAAAATACTATTAAAAATGTTTAATATAATTTCGCTCATATTTCGTTATAATAATACTAACTCCTTGCGACGATGGTTGTTGCGTTCCTGAGCCTTCTCCAGGATCCGTTGATGATCCTCCAGGGTCCATTCCAAATAATAAGGAAAAAAGTTGAAGAAAACAAAAGTTTAAAAGGATTAATTGGTAGATTTTCATCCTTAAATTTAAATAAAGAATTTAAGTTAAACTTCGACTTAGATTTTTTGGCTTTATATAAGAAAATCTTTCATTTAAACAAAAACAATGAAACGGGGAGGTAGGCCATCATGCTTGGCTTGATTTTTGCCAGATTTGGCTTTCTGGCGTTTTTTCGTCTTTTGGACCTAAAAATTTAACCACTAACGATGGATGTGTGAAAAGAAAAGATATACAAAAATTCTGGTGTAAATTGCTGCAATTAAATGTCTCGTTTTTAGGCAGTGGGGTTGGAAAAACATTTATTTAAAAAATTTTAATATATAATTTAAATTAAAACTATTCCCCTATATCCGCCAAAAAGTTTAAATTAAAAAAATTATTCTCCGAAGCTTAAGGCAATGAAAGAAGCTCTCTGTCAGGGGAAAAAATTTAAAAGGGAATTTTTATTTTAATTAATGCTTAACTCTCAGAGTGCTTCTCTTTTTAAAGACAATCAGATGCGCCCCTCCCCTCCCCCATTTTTCTTACTTGCCCTTTGTCTAATTATTTTTTTATTTAATTTTATTCGATGTATTAGACAATTTTGTACATTTTGTTTAAATTTATACTTTTTATCGATTTTAGCCTGTCATATAGGGCAAATCAAGGATCACACCAAAATATCGACACCCTAAATAACAACACCCAAAATGACAAATTACCCAAAATATCGAAATTTTTTAATTTCATAATTATGTATTCCAATGATCGGGAATGCTGTTCCGACATCTGGGAAGTGTTCCAACTACAGAGAAGCGAGCGAACTGACCATAGCGACCGATCAGGAATCTCCTTGGAGATCGAGAGAACCTTGGAGATCGATTCTCCCTTTGATTAAACATATTGATCAGATTAATAATTGTTCCATAGTTGAAATAATTCCCCTATGTTAAAACAGACTTCCCCGTCCTTGGAATACATAATTATAAATTAAAAAATTCGATATTTTGGGTGACGATATTTTGGGTGGAGATATTTTGGGTAATCGTCAAGTTGGGTGTCGATATTCTGGGGTGGAGTCGGCAAATCAGACTTCTTTATGAAATTTTTAAATTTTTTCCCCCTCATTTTTCTTTCTAGCCCTTTGTCATATTTTTTTATTAATTTTAAATGGATGTATCAGACAATTTTGTACATTTTGTATAAATTTATACAAGTCTTACTATTGATTTTAGAATGTCATATAGGGCAAATTAAATTTATTTATGAAATAATTTTTTTGAAATCCGCAAAATCCGCGGATATTTAAGTATCCGTTATACGTTGTTTGATTTTGTTTATTTTTCTAATAAATCAAAAAATTCACTCCGACGCTCTCAATTCCTTTTTATTCAACTTTTTTCGTTTAATAGATATTAATGGATCTTTACAAATCTTGAAAGAACTACGAAAAATATTCATACAACGGTTTCTGCTATGTGAAAGATAGAGAAAGCTCTTAGGGGGTGTATATTTGGCCTATTCCTTAGCGAGGTTATGGCGAGGACACTTCCTTTATCCTTCACATAACTGAAACCGTTATGGGACATTAACATTTTAAAAAATAATTAATCAGATAGTATTTTACAGAATATTTAATTAGAAAGCTTGGCGACTAATCGGCCGGTGACTATTCGGGCGGTACCCTTTACTCTAGTGTCTTTGGAATTTGCCCCTCGCCCTATTTTCGCTTACACTACTAAATATTACAAAATTATTTTTCTATTTTCATCCAATTTACAAGCCAATAGAAAAAACTTAAATTTTCCAAAAAATTCAGATTAAACTAAATTATGGACTCCTATGCAAAATCCTTCAAAGTAGTGCTTCTTGGGGAGGGTGCTGTTGGTAAAACATCATTAATGCTTCGTTATACTGAAAATAAAGTTTTATTCTTAAATTTGAAAAAAAAAATTTTTTTTCCTTCCCCCAAGTTTATTAACGAGCATATTTCAACTATACAAGCAGCTTTTGCTAGCAAACACCTAATTGTGGATAATGAAAGGGTTGAATTGGCTATATGGGACACGGCGGGGCAGGAAAGGTTTCATGCTCTTGGACCCATTTATTATAGAGATAGCCATGGTTTTTTGGAAATTTTTGAAATTTTTTAACCCTAAAAATTTGAAAAGGTGCCCTTCTAGTTTACGACATTACTGACAGACGCTCTTTTGAAAGAGTCAAAAAATGGGTAGAGGAATTGTTGCAAATGTTGGGGGATACAGTTGTGTTGTTTGTTGTTGGAAATAAAATTGATTTGGAATCGTCTAGGGTTGTTTCTGTTGAGGAGGCAGCAAAGTAAATTTGTAAAAAAAATATTTTTTTATTAGGGGGTGAAAAAAAATAATAAAAAATTAATTAACCGACATCCGAAGGGTTTCTATTTGTTTTATTTTTCTGATTTTCGGCTTTAGTCAAATATCGATTTTTTATTGAGTTTTAAAATTAAACTTTTTCGTTTTCTGATTTTTTAAATTTTCCTGAAAAAATTACGTCATATCCCCTGTACTCGGACATAGAATAAGTCCTTTGGAAAAGTTTGTAGAGCTGGTTCGGTTGACGCCAGAATTAAGCTCTGGATTCACTTCTAACACATTCTGAGTTATAGTTTCATAATGGTCAAGAGATATTAGGGGTGCGGACATGATTTTTTGGTATTTGAGGACATGACGGAACTTGCCCTACATAATTTTTTTAATTTAAAATTTCCTTATTTTCCTAATAAAAATTTGTGTTTTAAGCCCATCTTTGAACATTTTTTACATTAAAAATAAATTTATTTTAATTTTCCCAGTTATGCTTCCTCAATTAATACCCAATTTCTTGAATGTTCAGCAAAAACAAATGAGGGGGTAGATGAAGTTTTTGATGCGATAGCGACAGGTTTTAGGAATTTCTAAGAAAATTTCTTCAAATAATTTTCTAGCCATATTAAAAAAAGCACGGGAACAGTCTGTCATGTTTGATGAACAAGAAGGGACAGGAAACATTTTGAGGCGCCATAGTGGTTCTAGGCGAAGTATAAGAATAGTGGAAGAGACGGAAGAAGTAAGGGAAAGAAGGAGGAAGTGTTGCTAAGAAAATTTTTTTAATTAAAATTAGAAGATTCGATAAGTTTAGAATGATTGCTGACTTATTAAAGTAACTTATAGTTAAAAATTCTGACCCTGGTCGAACTACCTTTCGAGGTATTGTTAGGATAATATTGAACCTGATAGACCCCATTTTTCCTCCCCAAATTTTTTTCTATTTATTACAAAATGGTCAGACTTTTTTCCTTTCTTCTATCCCAATTGCCCTTCTATATTTTGTCTAAAAAATCTAAACTAATTAATTTTTATTCGCTCTTGGATGGAAATAAGGAAAATTAAAGGAAGTCCGACCATTCTGCAAATATACATATATGAATAAACTTGGGGAATGAATAAATGGGGTCTGTTAAGTTCAATATCACCATTGTTTGTCCTTATTCAGTTTATGTGTCCTATTAACTGGAAGATAAGCTCAAAATCCAATTCCCGATTGGACTCACAAAAGTTTGATTGACTCGTAAACTAGACATTCTCTAAATTCTGGGTACCCAAGTAGGCGCGCGGCCATAACGGCGCAAAGCCATAACTTGCTTCAATATTTCCGAATCTTACCAAATTTAGTATTAAACATTTCCTCTCCTCGAGCTAAAGAGAATGGTACCAAAATTGATAAGGGCCAGAAATTTTCCATCGAGTTATAGCTTTGCGCCTTTCGGTCGCGCGCCGTTATGGGCTGTAGTTGACAAAAAATTCTTCTGAATTGTTGCAAAAAAATTTTTTTTAAAGAACCCAGAGCTTCCAACTTTTTTAGGGAGTTCTCCTAGTTAATATGTGTAGATTATTAATCATTTTAGCAATCATTCTGAACTTGTATAATTATTATATTAGAGTAGACATATCCAGAGAAGTTTCTGGCAATTTTTAAGAAAGAATTCCTTTTAAATGTGCCAAAGACTTTATAGAAATTTTTCTTTCACTTTGTGACATATTTTAAAATTTTTATTTATTTAAATGTATTTTCCAATGATTAAAATTTTTAAAAATTTTTTTTGAAAATAAGAGTACTCAGACTCCCATCATCGAGATCTCGAAATCCAAAAATCAACAGATAAACTGGGAGTAGGCGTCTTTAAAAAATATTTCAGACCCCTTATAAGTCGTATTAAATTTTCATTTTATACTTTTCTGGAAGCCCTTTAAATTTCCTACAAGAGTGTTTATCTCATCCATAAAAAATTCATCTTCATTTTATTTTTTAACCACATATGAAACAAAAACAACGGAGACAAAGGTATAAATCACAAGCAAAGGTATAATCTAATCATAACTGAATCACTAAAACTTGGGCGCTGACAACACGCAGGCTGATTTTTGGTGAAGAAATATTTAACACGATGGGGGAAATTAGAATATTCGTTTTCTTCTTCTCTTAAGTATCCTTCTTCGAACCACGAGTATTTTAAAAATGTTTGAATCTTTGCGCTGATATTTGGGTGTGACGTAAATTTTGAAGAGTAAAGCAGCTGGGCTATAGCTATTTCTCTCCTTTAGCTAGAGCAAAAGGTTATTCGGCGGCTGGGAGCGAACCAGCATCTTCAGTAGACCGGACTGATGTGTTAGCCATTACACCACGCCGCCTACTGCTCAGGCTTAGGAAATTAATAGCTATATGCTTTACAGAAGTTTCACAATCTTCTCTATGCTTGTAGATCATCCAGAATTATTCTGTCCGAAATTCGCCTGACCATTTCCAAGTTCTATAATTATTTTATCAACCTAACAATAAGCACCTATCAAACTTCGATAAGAGAAAGTTGTGTAAATTTTCTTTGAAAACCCGTGGAAATTTCAGATAGTCTTATAATTTCTTGACACAATATAGAGAATAAAAGCGATGCTTATTAATATTAAAATTTCAAAATTTTTTAAAAATATATTTCAAAATTAAAAAACATTGAATAATCTTTCATAAGAAGGGCGGCTTTGTCAATTATAGACCGGTAATCAATTTTAATTCGATTAATGTTTATTGACATGCCAATTAAGGCTAATAGTGGAGTCGATTTATTGCTACATATTAGTCTTTAAATAAATTTAAAAATAATTTGTTAAATTTTATTATTTAATTTGAAGATGAAAATTTACAATTTAATTCTTTTAAATTTTCATTTTCTTCAATTTTTTCATTTATTATTTGGAATGGATCCATTAAAGGGTTCAGAAACACAACAAACAGAGGAACATGAAGTTTGTATTATTATAGCGAAATAAAAAAGGCTGTACTTTAGTACGTGGGTCCCGGAGTTAATATACAAATGTTATACCATTCGAAAGAGCTATTCGAGCTGAGTCGAATGCCACCAGTTTTAGCCCGAGGAAAAATTTTTGGACCGAGATATAGGTCCCCGAAATTTGAAAAAGCATAGGGGGGACCGAACACTTTTTTGGGGTGAAAAATTCGAAAATGCAAATGATACCTCATTCGAAAGAGCTCCTCGAGCTGAGTCGAATGACACCAAAATCAACGAAATCCGACTTGATTGGACAAAGTTATGATTTTTTATTTTAGCTCCTTACCTATGGCATCTGCGGAGATTTTTGCTGCTACGGAGGCCCCAAATACGTCCAGAGTAAGGGAGATAGGAATAGGTTTATGTTACGAGCCCAGACCCAGCACCCGTAGACTCCCCGCGAGGCGTGTGCCGCAAAACCCCGCGCGAAGCGCGGGGTTTTGCACAAGCGCCTCGCCGACGCTCCGTAGGTTTAGGTTTTTTTTGTTTTTTGTGTCATAACTTTGTCTAATCTTGTTCAATCACGGTGATTTTGGTGTCATTTGACTCAGCTTGTCGAGCTCTTTCGAATGAGGTATAATTTTCATATTCGAATTTTTTGACCCAAAAAATTTTCAAAATTCGGGTGTCTGTAACTCGGCCAAATAAAGTCAGATTTCGTTGATTTTGTGTCATTCGACTCAGCTCGAGGAGCTCTTTCGAATGAGGTATCATTTGCATTTTCGAATTTTTCACCCCAAAAAAGTGCTTGGTCCCCCCTATGCTTTTTCAAATTTCGGGGACCTATATCTCGGTCCAAAAATTTTTCCTCGGGCTAAAACTGGTGTCATTCGACTCAGCTCGACTAGCTCTTTCGAATGGTATAACATTTGTATATTAACTCCGGGACCCACGTACTAAAGTGACCCCATAAAAAATATTAAATATTTTTAATAGGCTTTTATGCAATTAAGCGGAAAAATTCTTACTTTGCTTGGCAAAGTTGGTGACTCATTGCCTTGTCCAGGCATAGAAGTTCGGCCGTTATGTAATATATTTATTTTGGGTTGGGGACGTTTTGGCGCCGTGCTGTTTTGGCGCGAGAACAAAGTGGCACTTAGGCGAGACCTAACTTCACAAAAATTTTCTCAAATTTCTTTAACATCCTTGACTACCTCCTCAAGAAATTTCAGAATTTTTCATCGAATATCTCTGAAGTTATAGTCGATAAACCGGGGTCGGTTTAGTATATGCCCACCGAGATCGAAAATCGTTATATATACCATTCGATTCCTCTCACCGAGCTGAGTTCAAATATGCAGGAATTTTCTGCCGGAGACGAAAACTCGCAGAGATACAGGCCTCCGAAAATCGAAAAACCATAGGGGGGACCAAGCACTATTTTGGGGTGAAAAATTCGAATATGCAAATGACAGCTCATTCGAAAGAGCTCCTCGAGCTGAGTCTAATGACAAACAAAATCCGACTTGATTGGACCGAGATATAGACCTCTAAAAATCGAAGATCCAAAGGGGCGATTTTTGGAATAAAAAATTTTTTATACAAATAATACCTCATTTGAAAGAGCTCGACGAGCTGAGTCAAATGACACCAAAATCACCGTGATTAGACAAGATTAGACAAAGTTATGACACAAAAAACAAAAAAACCTAAACCTATGGGTCGTCGGCGAGGCGCTTGTGCAAAACCCCGCGCTTCGCGCGGGGTTTTGCGGCACGCGCCTCGCGGGGAGTCTACGGGCGCTGGGTCTGGGCTCGTAACATAAACCTATTCCTATCTCCCTTGCTCTGGACGTATTTGGGGCCTCCGTAGCAGCAAAAATCTCCACAGATGCCATAGGTAAGGAGCTAAAATAAAAGATCACAACTTTGTCCAATCAAGTCGGATTTTGTTGATTTTGGTGTCATTAGACTCAGCTCGAGGAGCTCTTTCGAATGAGCTGTCATTTGCATATTCGAATTTTTCACCCCAAAATAGTG